GATTATAGGCGTCCGCCACCACGCCTGGCTAATGTTTTGTATTTTTGGTAGAGATGGAGTTTCACCATGTTGGCCAGGCTGGTCTCAAACTGCTGAGCTCGGGTGATCCACCCACCTCAGCCTCTCAAAGTGCTGAGATTACAGGTGTGAGCCACTGCACCCGACCTGGCCTGTGCTTCTTGAAAACAAATTATTAGCTGGTTACCCAAAAGGCCAGGCAGTGCAGTTGTAGGGACCAGCCCTGCCATGATGCCATAGAGACCCTGCACATCTCCATGTGGGCAAAAGGCAAAGGCTTGCCTGAAGACTTGAGTCTTGGCAGAACGTCCTGTGATTTTTTTCCTGGAACTGGGCAAGACAAGCAGCCTGCTGAGGAGCCACCATGAGGCAATTTCTCATCGGCCTCCCTGGCTCTGGTGTGGTATCGGGCTTTTTACTTTGCCCAGACTTATATTTCAGCTGCAGGCTTCTGTGTAAGTCTATTACAAAACTGCTTGTGGTCGTTTTTGAGTTGGCCCTTCAATGTCACCTGGCCCCTCTGGTTCAGTGTCATCCTGTGGGACTAAGGATGTTGGAGCTGACACCTTGATGGTCTTACTGTCTCTTTAAACAATAAACTGTCTGAATGCAGTTGGGCCCACCATTTCTTTAGCGGCTGAATCCGTGGACACGTGACAAGCCAGCCTAGCAACCACCTCCGCACCGTTGCTTAGGAACTGCTTGACCACTTGACACAAATGTGCAGAAATGCGAGGGAGGATACGCTCTCGCACACTTTGGCATTTTGATGAAACATCTTTCTAATGTCACCTTACCTTACAATTTTCCGCAGCAGTTTCCTGGGTCACATTGCCCTAATACATCAATACTCTTGAGCACTATGGAACTCTGAACCATATTAGGACTGGAAACCCACTGGAAACTTGGATGTGGGGTGTTACTTAAGATATTCTAAAAAGGAAGACAAGAAACCATAACTGTACTTTTACTAGAAAAAAAAAAACTGCAGTGCAAAGAAATTAGTAATCAGTGTAACCTAAGAATGCAGATCACAGACATTTCACAGTAAAAAGGGTATTTGGAGATTAGTTAAGCCCAAAACCAAACTAAACCAAATGGGTACACAGTCTTGTATCTGTCATACAGGTCAGGAAACAGAAACACCGAACTGTGAAGTGAGATATTATCCAATATCTCACTTGTGCAGTTGAGACCGACAGTTTCCCTTTCTTCCACCAAAAATTGGGCTCCTTACACAAGCTGTGTAAGGGGCTGTGAGCAAACACGTACACCTACAACAAAGAATATGCTCTCAGTCTTTAGTTTGCAATTCTTTTCCCCTTTGAAAAGTTAAAAAAGCCTATAATCCCAACACTTTGGGAGACTGAGGCGGGCAGATCGCTTGAGGCCAGGAGTTTGAGGCCAGCCTGGACAACATAGTGAAAACCTCTCTCTACAAAAAAATACAAAAAAAAAAAAAAAAAAAAAAAAATTTGCTGGGTGTGGTGGCGCGTGCCCGTGGTCTTAGCAACTTGGGAGGCTGAGCTGGGAGGATCACTTAAGCCAGGGAGGTTGAGGCTGCAGTGAGCCGAGATCACATCACTGCACTCCAGCCTGGGCAACAGAACAAGCCTCTGTCTCAAAAAGAAAGAAAGACAGAGACAGAGAGAGAAGGAAAGGAAGGGGAGGGGAGGGGAGGGGAGGGGAGGGGAGGGAGGGGAGAGCAAGGGAGGGAAGAAAAGGAGGAAGGAAGGGAGAAAGGAAGAAGGAAGGAAGGAAGGTAAGAAGGAAGGAAAGAAGGAAGGAAGGAAAAGGGGGAAGGGAAGAAAGAAAAGTTAAAATGTATTGTTGCATTAAGCAAAATCTTAAGGCAGGCCAACAGATGAAATTTTTCACTCTTATAGAAAGTATATGCTCTACATGGTGGTGCGTGCCTGTACTCCCAGCTACTCGGGAGGCTGAGTCAGGAGAATCACTTGAACCTGGGAAGTGGAGGTTGCAGTGAGCCGAGATCACACCACTGCATTCCAGCCTGGGCGACAGCCAGACTGTCTAAAAACAACAACAACAACAATAACAAAACAACAACAACAAAAAGAAAACATATGCCCTAAAAATGTGACTATCTGGGGTGCTCTGGGAATGTGGCAAATGCTAGTCTATAGCGCTGGTAGTTTTGAGGGTGCAATACTAGCGTGCAAGTGATAGCCTTTCTCTCGGTATTCACACGAGAAGGGCATCACCTGCCTCTGTGCCACTGTGCCAGTGTTTGTAATGATTTCACTTCTATGGCTGGCCACCCTCTCACTCCTGATCTCTGTTCTGAGGCCATCACCCCACCCTTGCATGTTGCATATTCAGATGTCTCTCTGGGTTTGTAGAGGGATATTAGTAAGAGAACCAAATGTTTATTTTCTTTGCAGTTTTTGATTATACACATTAATCACACTTATTGAACTACAAGTTACATGGCTACTTATAGTGAGTTACATAACAAACATAGTCTCAATATTTGCATGAGAAGTAAAATACTAGAAAGGTCTGCCTTCTCGACCTGGCTTTAGTTTCTTTTCTGAGTTGCAATGCGGCTGTTTGAAAATATCCCTACAATAACTGAATCACTTTGATTAAATTAAAGTGATAGCAATATGCTGATGTCTAACATGTTAACTTATATCTTTTTAAAGAAAATTAACTTTATTTCATAATTTATGTCCTTAAAAGAGAATGTTTGTGTAATCACAAAACGTTTTTCCAAGTTATTGGGTTTTTTGTTTGTTTTTTTCCTTTCTATAGTGGGGTCAGTACTACAAAAACAAAAGTTACTGAATTTTAGCTGAATACTACTGTTTGGTGGAAGCTCTGGGCCTGAAATCTGCTCTTCTGTTGTCAAAGATGTACTGGGCCAGGCACGGTGGCTCATGCCTGTAATCCCAGCTACCCAGGAGGCTGAGGCAGGAGGATCCCTTGAGCCCAGGAGTTTGAGGCTTCAGTGAGCTATGATTGCACCACTGCACTCCAGCCTGGATGACAGTGAGACTCTCTCTCCCTTTGTTTTTTGAGACGGTGTCACACTGTCACAGGGGCTGGCATGCAGTGGTACAATCTCAGCTCAGTGCAACCTCTGCCTCCCGGGTTCAAGCGATTCTCCTGCCTCAACCTCCCGAGTAGCTAGGATTACAGGTGCCAGCCACCACGCCCGGCTAATTTTTTGTATTTTTAGTAGAGACGGAGTTTCACTATGTTGGCCAGGCTGGTCTTGAACTCCTGACCTTGTGATCTGCCCACCTAGGCCTCCCAAAGTGCTGGGATTACAGGTGTGAGCCACCACGCCCGGCATCTCTCTCTCTTTTTAAGAGTCAAGGTCTCAATCTCTGGTCCGGGCTGGAGTGCAGTGATGCAATCATAGCTCACTGCAGGCTTGAACTCCTGGGCTCAAGTGATCCTCCCACCTTAGCCTCCCTGAGTAGCTAAGACTGCACGTGAGAGCCACTACACCTTCCTTGTAGAGACAGGGGACTCACTAAGTTGTGCAGGCTGGTTTCAAACTCTGGGCCTCAAGTCATCCTCCTGTCTCAGCCTCCCAAAATGTTGGAAATGCAGATGTAAGCTACCTTGCTTGGCTCCTGTCTCTTTAAAAAAAAAAAAAGATATACACCATGGAGGCTGAAAGAAACTGGGGAAGGTACCATCTGTCTCCTGCTGTGCCCATTAACTCCATCAGAGACAAATAAATGCATTTTTACTTACGTTTTAAAATGTGGGCCAGGAGTGATGGCTTACACCTTTAATCCCAGCACTATGAGAGGCCGAGGCCAGTGGATCACCTGAGGTCAGGAGTTTGAGACCAGCCTGGCCAACATGGTGAAACCCCGTCTCTAGCAAAAATACAAAAATTAGCCGGGCATGGTGGTGGGTGCCTGTAATCTCAGCTACTCAGGGGACTGAGGCAGGAGAATCACTTGAACCTGGGAGGTGGAGGTTGCAGTAAGCCGAGATTGCACCACTGCACTCCAGCCTGGGCAATAGAGTAAGTAAGACCCTGCCTCAAAAATAAATAGGCTGGGCGCGGTGGCTCACGCTTGTAATTCCAGTACTTTGGGAGGCCGAGGCGGGCAGATCACGAGGTCAGGAGATCGAGATCATCCTGGCTAACATGGTGAAAACCCGTCTCTACTAAAAACACAAAAAATTAGCCGGGCTTGGTGGCAGGCGCCTGTAGTCCTAGCTACTCGGGAGGCTGAGGCAGGAGAATCGCTTGAACCTGGCAGGCGGAGGTTGCAGTGAGCCAAGATCACACCACTGCACTCCAGCCTGGGTTACAGACTGAGACTCCATCTCAAATAAATAAATAAATAAATAAATAAATAAAATGTGTACCAATTTAAAGAAACATGTTAAGTAAATAATGTTCATTTGGTACATGGATATGGCAAAAGTGATGGCTGTATTTGAAGTACTAAAGTCTGTGCTGCCCTGGTTTGTCTCTTGTCATGTGCATATGTTTTATGTGTGTGTCATATATAACATATATAATATGAAATACAAATATATTTTAATATATACCCTCCCTCCATGTTAAAACTAGGGAATTATGAAGAAAGTATCACAGTCTTTGGATTTCTTTTCTGTTTTTTTTTTTTTTTTTTTTAGACAGGGTTGCACTCTGTCACTCAGGCTGGAGTGCAGTGGCGCAATCTCGGCCCACAGCAACCTCCACCTCCCAGGCTCAAGCGATCCTCCCACCTCAGCATTCCGAGTAGCTGGGACTACAGGTGCCTGCCACCACGCATGGCTAATTTTTTTTTTTTTTTTTTTTTTTTTTTTTGTAGAGACAGGATTTCGCCACGTTGGCCAGGTTGGTCTCAAACTCCTGACCTCAAGTGATCCGCCCACCTTGGCCTCCCAAAGTGCTGGAATTACAGGCGTGGGCCACCGCTCCTGGCTGAATTTTTCTTTTCCAAAAATGACATTTAGAACCGTAACCTTTTTTCCCCTCATGTCAGATGGGTAATGTGCTTGTGCTGTAACAAGGTTGGAGGGAGGCACGTCTCACACACGAGCGTGAAAACTGAACCACCACACTTATGAACCACAAAAGGGTGGTTGGCTACCATCTTTCTGAAACAGTGTATTGAGGAGTCAAAAGGAGAATTAGGCTATGAATTTATACACCACACACCAACTTCAGAGAATGGGCTTTTGTGGCCATGGCTGTGTTTTGAGCACCACCTGGTTAGCAAGCTGGAACTCAAACCAGTTCTCTGAACTCCAGTGTTAGAGTGGCTTACACAATGCTACGTACTGAGAAAACCCTACGGGATGAGGAAAACATATGGTAATGGTAACAGAAATGGATTCATTCCAGTGTTCACACAATGCAAACATGCCAAAGGAAGGACTCAGCCTGAACATATTTCCACTGTGATGTAATTCTACAATTACAATCTAGTGTCTATACTTTTCTTTTTCTTTTTCTTTTTTTTTTTTTGAGACTGAGTTTTGCTTTTGGTGCCCAGGCTGGAATGCAATGCTGTGATCTCGGCCCACCGCAACTTCTGCCTCCTGGGTTCAAGCAATTCTGAGGGATGCCTCAGCCTCCCGAGTAGCTGGGATTACAGGCATGTGCTACCACGCCCAACTAATTTTGTGTTTTTAGTAGAGATGGAGTTTCTTCGTGTTGGTAAGACTAGTCTCGAACTCCTGACCTCAGATGATCCACCTGCCCTGGCCTCCCAAAGTGCTGGGATTACAGGCGTGAGCAACTGCGCCCTGCCTTCTTCCTGCTTTTCTCACTCTGCGTTTCCTGCTGCTGTCGATGAAACTCAGCTTCTTATTTCCAGGCACTCTCAGAGTGAGGATCCATAGGAGGCTTTGATTCTTTTTTTTTTTTTTTTTTTTGAGACGGAGTCTCGCTCTGTCGCCCAGGCTGGAGTGCAGTGGCCGGATCTCAGCTCACTGCAAGCTCCGCCTCCCGGGTTCACGCCATTCTCCGGCCTCAGCCTCCCGAGTAGCTGGGACTACAGGCGCCCGCCACCTCGGCCGGCTAGTTTTTTTTGTATTTCTTAATAGAGACGGGGTTTCACCGTGTTAGCCAGGATAGTCTCGATCTCCTGACCTCGTGATCCGCCCGTCTCGGCCTCCCAAAGTGCTGGGATTACAGGCTTGAGCCACCGCGCCCGGCCAGGAGGCTTTGATTCTTAGGACAGATAACCCCATCTTTCCTCTGGTTCTGACCTATTTTTCTGTGTCCTTGTTACTGTGGTCATACCCAGAGAAGTAACATTTTGTCTTGCATTTGCAAAAATCTCCACCTTTCCCCACAAAGGAATTTCAGCACAGTGGCTGTTTTAACAGATATCTTGTAGCACGTATCACATGTTCCCCTCCTGAGTCCTTGAAGGTAATTTTCAGCTTTTGATCGGCTACATTGTTCTTCCCAGCTACATTTTTGGGAAGTCCAGCCAAATAACTTGCTACTCTTTTAAAGGTTCTAATGATAAAATGAAACAAAATACCCCCTTTTTATCATCACCCACAAAGCCCTAATGCGTGCAGCAAAGATTGTGAAATGGCCAGGGAATAGTTTGTGAGACAGAAAGGATGGCTTTGTTGGCCAGGCATGGTGGCTCACGCCTAAAATCCCAGCGCTTTGGGAGGTCGAGAAGGGTAGATCACAAGGTCAGGAGTTCAAGACCAGCCTGGCATGGTGAAACCCTGTCTCTACTAAAACTACAAAAATTATCCAGGCGCAGTGGCAGGCATCTGTAATCCCAGCTACTTGGGAGGCTGAGGCAGGAGAATTGCTTGAACCCAGGAGGTGGAGATTGCAGTGAGCCGAGATCATGCCACTGCACTCCAGCCTGGGCAACAGAGTGAGACTCCGTCTCAAAAAAAAAAAAGGAAAAGAAAAGAAAATATATTCTACCGGCCATGTGCGCTAGCTCATGCTTATAATCCCAGCAATTTGGGAGGCAGGAGGATCGCTTGGTCCTAGGAGTTCAAGACCAGCCTAGGCAATATGGCGAGACTATCTCTATTAAAAAAAAAAAAAAAAAAAAAAAGGCTGGGCGCAGTGGCTCATGCCTGTAATCCCAGCACTTTGGGAGGCCGAGGCAGGTGAATCACCTGAGGTCGGGAGTTCGAGACTAGCCTGGCCAACATGGTGAAACCCCATTTCTACTAAAAATACAAAAATAGCTGGGCGTGGTGGTGGGTGCCTGTAATCCCAGCTACTTGGGAGGCTGAGGCAGGAGAATCACTTGAACCCAGAAGAGGTTGTGGAGAGCTGAGATTGCACCACTGCACTCCAACCTGGGTGACAGAGCAAGACTCCATCTAAAAAAAGAACAAGGCCGGGCGCGGTGGCTCAAGCCTGTAATCCCAGGACTTTGGGAGGCTGAGACGGGCGGATCACGAGGTCAGGAGATCGAGACCTTCCTGGCTAACACGGTGAAACCGCGTCTCTACTAAAAAATACAAAAAAAAACTAGCCGGGCGAGGTGGTGGGCGCCTGTGGTTCCAGCTACTCCGCAGGCTGAGGCAGGAGAACGGCGTAAACCCGGGAGGCGGAGCTTGCAGTGAGCTGAGATCCAGCCACTGCACTCCAGCCTGGGCGACAGAGCTGTTTTTTTTGAGACTCCGTCTCAAAAAAAAAAAAAAAAAAAAAAAGAACGAGGCGAGGCGGGGCGTCTTGGGGCGGGGCGAGGCAAGGCGTTCTGCGCTTGTGGTCCCAAGTACTCTAGAGGCTGCGGTGGGAGGATCGCAAAAAATACAACCCTGTACATGAACATTCATAGCAGCTTTATTTGTAATAGCCACAAAGTGAAACAGCCCAAATGCCTTTTCAACATTAGGGATGAATGTTTATCTCTGTGATATGTCCATACTATGGAACAGTGCTCAGCAATACAAAGGAGCAAACCCTTGATACATACAACGATTTGGATGGATTTCCACGGGATTACACTGAGTGAAAAAGCCAATCTGAAAAAATTGCGTATTGTATGATTTATTTTCTACAATAATCCTGAAATAAGAAAATAGAGATTAGGTGCTGCGAGGGATTAGAGTGGTGGAGAAGGCAGGTGTCTGTTCCGTTTATAAAGGGGTAGCACAAGGGAGCTTTATGGGGATGGAAGCCTTCTCTGTCTTGAATGTGGTGGTGGTTACAGGTGAAATCACTGAATGGAATTAAACTCGCACAAATAAGTGAACATAAAATTGGTGAAATCTGAATACACTCTGGATTGCACCGACGTCAATATCCTGGTTTTGACATGGTACTATAGTTATGCCGGATGCTACCAATTGGGGAACTGAGTGAAGAGTGCATGGCTCCTCCCTTATAATTTTTGTTACCACTGCATGTGAATCTATACTTATTTTAAAACAAAAAGTTAAAAATCAAAATAAATAATGAAAGGAATGAATTATAACCTATTGAATAAAATGGAAAACCGTGAGTCCATACTGCCATAAATTAATGAATAAGTGGAAAGTTTGATGAGGAATGGGATATTGACGTAGCCTCAAAGTACCTCCCAACTCTGAACTGAAATAGGAAAATAATAACTTTAAAATAGAGAAACATGGCAGATACTGCCTTAACGAAGGAATCAAAGTGAATATCACCAGTATTCAAATCATGTGCCACCTCATAGGCTGAAATGAGAAGGGCACAACATTGCCTCTGTCATCTTCCTATCCAAGATGAGAACCTGAGGATGGCGGGAAGGGCTGGTGGTCAGGGGCCTGGAGTGGCGGTTGCACTTAATCTCAGCTGCTGGCACCATGTCCTGCGTTTTGATGCCTTACCATGTGAAAGGCACCATAGCCCTGCAGGTCAGTGACGTGCAGACCTCCCAATGCCGGCCTGGCATGCTGGTCATTGATGTCATCTTCCCCTGAGTCACTCCCCTCGAGGAGATCATGTTTAAGAATTACTACACAGCGGCTGGTCACGGTGGCTCACGCCTGTAATCCCAATACTTTGGGAGGCCGAGGCAGGTGGATCCCCTGAGGTCGGGAGTTCAAGACCAGTCTGACCAACATGGAGAAACCCCGTCTCTACTAAAAATACAAAATTAGCTGGGGTGGTGGCGCATGCCTGTAATCCCAGCTACTCGGGAGGCTGAGGCAGAAGCATCGTTTGAACCTGGGAGGCGGAGGTTGTGGTGAGCCGAGATCGTGCCATTGCACTCCAGCCTGGGCAAAAAGAGTGAAACTCCGTCTCAAAAAGAAAAAAAAAAAAAAAAAAAGAATTACTACACAGCTTTTTTGAGCATCCGTGTCTGTCAGCACACCTCAGCACACACATCAGCCAAGTGGGTGACTTGACTACAGGACTACTGTCTGATGCCTGACCCACACAGTGAGGAAGGAGCCCAGGAATATGTGTCGCTGTTCAAGTATCAGATACTGTGTGATATGGCCAGAGTATCGGAGCTACACCTGATTCTGCAGCAACCATCACCACTGTGGCTGTCTTTCACAGTGGAGGAGCTGCAGATCTATCAGCAGGGACCAAAGAGCCCCTCCATAATCTCCCCCAAGTGGCTCTCTCCCCCAGTGCCCTGTGAGCAACCTCCACTCCTCCATGAGGGGCTCCCAGACCCCAGCAGGCTATCCTCCAAGGTGCAGCAGATGTGGGCACTGACAGAGATGATCCGGGCCAGTCACACCTCCGCAAGGATCGGCCACTTTGATGTGGATGGCTTTTGTGACCTGAACTTGCTCTCCTACACTTGAATGGTGGCTCCTAGCCAAGATATTGGCCTTTCTGTGCCCACTCAGACTTGTTTGGGCCACCAGAGGCCAAAGTGTGTTTGCTGTGCATTCCAAGTGTTGCCTGCATGCCTGTTCTGTCTGGACGATGTTCACAGATTCAAGATTCTCGGGGACTCACTGTGTTGCTTCAGCATGAGCTCCTGGCAGGGGGGGTGCTCTGTCTTCGCCTGGCTGCAGCTCAATTCTTCCTTCTACCCAAAAACACTTTAGTCAGTTGTACTTACTAAGAATCCCTGAGTGCCCTCTGCCCCTCTTGCCAACATGCACACTCCTGTCTTCTGCCTGCTCCCTCACCTCAGTGCAGTTGGGTTGGGC